ACGCGCTACCAATTGCGCCACGAGGCCTTAGATAGCGGCAATCAGAATTAAATTGCTAGATAAATTTAGTGAAATATTTCGATATTTAAGGAAGAAGAAATGGACAATTCCCACGCCGGGAATCGAACCCGGGTCATGGCGGTGAGAGCGCCAGATCATAGCCACTAGACCACGTGGGAACTTCGTGACACCAGCATTAGAGGAATCTTTTACAGTTGGTTGACTCTAATTTTTACGAACTGAGAAATGACAAAACGAATTTGACCCCGAAGTGATTTGAACACCTAACCTTCTGATCTGGAGTCAGACGCGCTACCAATTGCGCCACGAGGCCTTAGCTAGCTGCACTGAGAATTAAATTGCAGATAAATATAGTGAAATATTGATATTTAAGGAAGAAGAAATAGACAATTCCCACGCCGGGAATCGAACCCGGGTCATGGCGGTGAGAGCGCCAGATCATAGCCACTAGACCACGTGGGAACTTGGTGACACCAGCATTAGAGGAATCTTTTACAGATGGTTGACTCTAATTTTTACGAACTGAGAAATGACAAAACGAATTTGACCCCAAGTGATTTGAACACCTAACCTTCTGATCTGGAGTCAGACGCGCTACCAATTGCGCCACGAGGCCTTAGCTAGCGGCACTGAGAATTAAATTGCATGATAAATATAGTGAAATATATGGATATTTAAGGAAGAAGAAATGGACAATTCCCACGCCGGGAATCGAACCCGGATGATGGCGGTGAGAGCGCCAGATCATAGCCACTAGACCACGTGGGAACTTGGTGACACCAGCATTAGAGGAATCTTTTAAGATGAATGACTCTAATTTTTACGAACTGAGAAATGACAAAACGAATTTGACCCCGAAGTGATTTGACACCTAACCTTCTGATCTGGAGTCAGACGCGCTACCAATTGCGCCACGAGGCCTTAGCTAGCGGCAGTGAGAATTAAATTGCAAGAAAAATATAATGAAATATATGGATATTTAAGGAAGATGAAATAGAAAATTCCCACGCCGGGAATCGAACCCGGGTCATTACGTTGAAAGCGCCAAATCATAGCCACTAGACCACGTGGGAACTTCGTGACACCAGCATTAGAGGAATCTTTTACAGTTGGTTGACTCTAATCTTTACGAACTGAGAAATGACAAAACGAATTGACCCGAAGTGATTGAACACCTAACCTTCTGATCTGGAGTCAGACGCGCTACCAATTGCGCCACGAGGCCTTAGCTAGCGGCAGTGAGAATTAAATTGCAAGAAAAATAAATAATATATGGATATTTAAGGAAGATGAAATAGATAATTCCCACGCCGGGAATCGAACCCGGGTCATGGCGGTGAGAGCGCCAGATCATAGCCACTAGACCACGTGGGAACCTGGTGACACCAGCATTAGAGGAATCTTTTACAGATGGTTGACTCTAATTTTTACGAACTGAGAAATGACAAAACGAATTTGACCCCGAAGTGATTTGAACACCTAACCTTCTGATCTGGAGTCAGACGCGCTATCAATTGCGCCACGAGGCCTTAGCTAGCGGCACTGAGAATTAAATTGCATGATAAATATAGTGAAATATATGGATATTTAAGGAAAAAAAAATGGACAATTCCCACGCCGGGAATCGAACCCGGGTCATGGCGGTGAGAGCGCCAGATCATAGCCACTAGACCACGTGGGAACTTGGTGACACCAGCATTAGAGGAATCTTTTAAAGATGGTTGACTCTAATTTTTACGAACTGAGAAATGACAAAACGAATTTGACCCCGAAGTGATTTGAACACCTAACCTTCTGATCTGGAGTCAGACGCGCTACCAATTGCGCCACGAGGCCTTAGCTAGCGGCACTGAGAATTAAATTGCTAGATAAATAGTGAAATATTTCGATATTTAAGGAAGAAGAAATGACAATTCCCACGCCGGGAATCGAACCCGGGTCATGGCGGTGAGAGCGCCAGATCATAGCCACTAGACCACGTGGGAACTTGGTGACACCAGCATTGAGGATTTTTACAGATGGTTGACTCTAATTTTACGAACTGAGAAATGACAAAACGAATTGACCCCGAAGTGATTTGAACACCTAACCTTCTGATCTGGAGTCAGACTCGCTATCAATTGCGCCACGAGGCCTTAGCTAGCCACTGAGCATTAAATTGCGAGATAAATATAGTGAAATATATGGATATTTAAGGAAGAAGAAATAGACAATTCCCACGCCGGGAATCGAACCCGGGTCATGGCGGTGAGAGCGCCAGATCATAGCCACTAGACCACGTGGGAACTTGGTGACACCAGCATTAGAGGAATCTTTTACAGATGGTTGACTCTAATTTTTACGAACTGAGAAGTGACAAAACGAATTTGATCCCCAAGTGATTTGAACACCTAACCTTCTGATCTGGAGTCAGACGCGCTACCAATTGCGCCACGAGGCCTTAGCTAGCGGCACTGAGATTAAATTGCATGATAAATATAGTGAAATATATGGATATTTAAGGAAGAAGAAATGGACAATTCCCACGCCGGGAATCGAACCCGGATGATGGCGGTGAGAGCGCCAGATCATAGCCACTAGACCACGTGGGAACTTGGTGACACCAGCATTAGAGGAGTCTTTTACAGATGAATGACTCTAATTTTTACGAACTGAGAAATGACAAAACGAATTTGACCCCGAAGTGATTTGAACACTTAACCTTCTGATCTGGAGTCAGACGCGCTACCAATTGCGCCACGAGGCCTTAGCTAGCGGCAGTGAGAATTAAATTGCAAGAAAAATAGAAATATATGGATATTTAAGGAAGATGAAATAGAAATTCCCACACCGGAATCGAACCCGGGTCATTACGTTGAAAGCGCCAAATCATAGCCACTAGACCACGTGGGAACTTCGTGACACCAGCATTAGAGGAATGTTTTACAGTTGGTTGACTCTAATCTTTACGAACTGAGAAATGACAAAACGAATTTGACCCCGAAGTGATTTGAACACCTAACCTTCTGATCTGGAGTCAGACGCGCTACCAATTGCGCCACGAGGCCTTAGCTAGCGGCACTGAGAATTAAATTGCATGATAAATATAGTGAAATATATGGATATTTAAGGAAGAAGAAATGGACAATTCCCACGCCGGGAATCTAACCCGGGTCATGGCGGTGAGAGCGCCAGATCATAGCCACTAGACCACGTGGGAACTTGGTGACACCAGCATTAGAGGAATCTTTTACAGATGGTTGACTCTAATTTTTACGAACTGAGAAGTGACAAAACGAATTTGATCCCCAAGTGATTTGAACACCTAACCTTCTGATCTGGAGTCAGACGCGCTACCAATTGCGCCACGAGGCCTTAGCTAGCGGCACTGAGAATTAAATTGCATGATAAATATAGTGAAATATATGGATATTTAAGGAAGAAGAAATGGACAATTCCCACGCCGGGAATCGAACCCGGATGATGGCGGTGAGAGCGCCAGATCATAGCCACTAGACCACGTGGGAACTTGGTGACACCAGCATTAGAGGAGTCTTTTACAGATGAATGACTCTAATTTTTACGAACTGAGAAATGACAAAACGAATTTGACCCCGAAGTGATTTGAACACCTAACCTTCTGATCTGGAGTCAGACGCGCTACCAATTGCGCCACGAGGCCTTAGCTAGCGGCAGTGAGAATTAAATTGCAAGAAAAATAGAAATATGGATATTTAAGGAAGAAAAATAGAAATTCCCACGCCGGGAATCGAACCCGGGTCATGACGTTGAAAGCGCCAAATCATAGCCACTAGACCACGTGGGAACTTCGTGACACCAGCATTAGAGGAATCTTTTACAGTTGGTTGACTCTAATCTTTACGAACTGAGAAATGACAAAACGAATTTGACCCCGAAGTGATTTGAACACCTAACCTTCTGATCTGGAGTCAGACGCGCTACCAATTGCGCCACGAGGCCTTAGCTAGCGGCACTGAGAATTAAATTGCATGATAAATATAGTGAAATATATGGATATTTAAGGAAGAAGAAATGGACAATTCCCACGCCGGGAATCTAACCCGGGTCATGGCGGCGAGAGCGTCAGATCATAGCCACTAGACCACGTGGGAACTTGGTGACACCAGCATTAGAGGAATCTTTTAAGATGTTGACTCTAATTTTTACGAACTGAGAAATGACAAAACGAATTTGACCCCGAAGTGATTTGAACACCTAACCTTCTGATCTGGAGTCAGACGCGCTACCAATTGCGCCACGAGGCCTTAGCTAGCGGCACTGAAAATTAAATTGCATGATAAATATAGTGAAATATATGGATATTTAAGGAAAAAGAAATGGACAATTCCCACGCCGGGAATCGAACGCGGATTATGGCGGTGAGAGCGCCAGATCATAGCCACTAGACCACGTGGGAACTTGGTGACACCAGCATTAGAGGAATCTTTTACAGATGGTTGACTCTAATTTTTACGAACTGAGAAATGACAAAACGAATTTGACCCCGAAGTGATTTGAACACCTAACCTTCTGATCTGGAGTCAGACGCGCTACCAATTGCGCCACGAGGCCTTAGCTAGCGGCAGTGAGAATTAAATTGAAACATAAATATAGTGAAATATATGGATATTTAAGGAAGAAGAAATGGATAATTCCAACGCCGGGAATCGAACCCGGGTCATGGCAGTGAGAGCGCCAGATCATAGCCACTAGACCATGTGGGAACTTGGTGAAACCAGCATTGAGGAATCTTTTACAGTTGGTTGACTCTAATTTTTACGAACTGAGAAATGACAAAACGAATTAGACTCCAAAGTGATTTGAACACCTAACCTTCTGATCTGGAGTTAGATGCGCTACCAATTGCGCCACGAGGTATTAGTCAGCTGCACTGAGCATTAAATTGCAAGATAAATATAGTGAAATATTTCGATATTTAAGGAAGAAGAAATAGACAATTTCCACACCAGGAATCGAACCCGGGGAGGTGGTGGAGTTGGTTGTGGTTTTGGTAGGAGTTGCTTGGCTGGTAGGAGATTGGGCTTTGGGGCGGTTCGTGGTGGTGGTTCTGGAAGACCTTGGGTTAGAATCCTGCACTCAACATTTCTTTGATGATCATTAAACCTTAAATGTAGTGAATGATATAAATTGTTTGATACTGTGATATAATATTTTTGAATTTTGTTATGATACAAGATAAGTGGGTTGCAGCATGGTAGCTTCTTCGAGTAGCCAAAGACTTCAAATGTTTCAACAGCTACCTAACTGTATATTTTAAGTAGCTGTCAAAACATTTGCAGTCTTTGAATTGTATTATGTTGAACTCACCATTTCATCAGTGTTGTTTTGTTGAGTTCGTACAACTGTATACTTGTTTTTGTCATGATGAGATCATGCATTGTGACCAGCTCTCTGATGTTATGGTAGCTGGTCAGTATACGTCTCCACCTTGAAACCGATCTTCCCTCAATCTTGATGGGCGAGACAAAGTGTTTTTCCAGCTGTGAAACAAGTTGTTCCACAATTGGACTGGCATCTACAGCTGTTGCTGGCCCCGAGTCTCCTCCAACCATTGCTCTAAAAAAATTTTTATGCATGGTAATTAGATTTGAACAAGTACTGTAGGTTGGTTGATTGATTCTGTATGTATGTGTTGTATATTTTACCTTCTTAGACTCACAAGTCCAGGTGTGACTGTCTGGGTGTATGGGGAGGGTGGCTTTGCTTGTTTGAATCGACCTGTTTGGGTTGCATCTGGTCTGTACCGGGGTGGGTATGTCACTTTTGATGTTCTCAGACCTTCCGGTAGTTTCTCCCACAAGCTGATGTTGTTGGCTTCAGCTGCAGTCAAAACAGAGTTGTCCTTAAGGTGGAACAAGGAGGAAGCCAAGTTTTTGATTGCTGCCCAACCTTGAATTCCACCTGGGCCAACAGCATCATCCTAAAATTAACATTTAAATAGTCCTTTATTAACCCATTTACTGGCAGAGTTAATACTAAAGTTGGGCACATTTGGGCGCATTGCCAGTTATTGGGTTGATTTATCAGCACAATTTTAATTTTCTTGTGTCATTTTACTTACAGCTTCATCAGATTTTTCATGGTCCAGTGGCTCATCCATTAATGTTGGGTTGGTCGGTGAGCCTTCATCGGGGATAGTGCTTGTCGTTGGCTGCTCAGATGGTGTTTCTGGAAGTGTCAACAAAGAACTGTGAACATAACTTGACTATTTTTCAGCATGTATCTATATACATTGTTTTATTACCTGGTATGGTGGTTCTGGGAAGTGGTGGTACTGTGAGGTCAAATTCGTCTTCCTCAAACCCTTCATCCAGACCATCATCAGACTCGTTATCTTCAAATTGGTCCGGTTTATCTGGGTCATCAGTTTCCAGGGACAACCATTTCTTTCCAGTTTGAGAATATAAATATTCCACACCAAACTTCTTGCCTGAATGAGAGACGTCCAATTTTAGCTAACATGATCCCAGACTCTCTTTGTTGTATGAATGTGATGAGACTCACTCTCGTGTGGGATTTGTCAGAGCCCACAAAGAGAGTCTGGTTCATTTTAGCAAGTTGTCATAACAATTGGTAGTATAATTAAACTTTAAATTTACTAACCAGTGTATTTACAAGGATCTCTGTAATCTCCATCGAATGCTTTCCCGTAGACCATATTATTGAGACGGTTAACTTCATGGGATAGAGCAGTGTTGTAATGTCCAGCTGTCTTGTAGGACTGTCCATCCACCATGGCTCGCCCTCTATCGCTGTTCCAGCGAGCAATGCCTTCCAGCATATATGCTTGATAATGCATGTCACTGGCAGTGGTGCCTTGATAAATGATAATAAGTATACAAGACCCTCATTAACATATTATTCGCCCTACTTTATCCTTTTATTCAGTCTAATGCCAGACAATTTTACTTGTCAAGGGGAGAGTCTTGCACTCTAATGGGTTAACCCATTTACTGGCAATACTCTACCACTGACGAGTAAAATCGTCTGGCGTTAGACAGAGTGAATACTAAAGTAGGGTGCATTTGGGCACATTGCCAGTTAGTGGGTTAAAAACCTCTTTGGTGAGTTTGTTTTGTGTTTAAATACCTGGAATAAATCTAACAATGTGGTTGTGGAAGGATTCCAGGGATGTTGACCCTCGTCCACACCTTAAAATAAAATGGACTTATTGGTAAAAGGTTTTTTTTTATAAATTTTGTTGTTTTCAACTAATGCACACCTGTACACTGGCAGTTCAACGCCGCCCTTTTTAAGTGTGCCCGTCTGGGTATAAAGCTGGACACCAGCAGGGTCTTGGATACAATCGAGGTGTTTCTGCTGCTCCTCCCAAATACGCCAAGCACGATCATTGTCAAGGAGTGGGATTCCCATTGTGTCATTCCCAAGGTCTGAGGAGAATGTTGTTATCAGCCGCTGAATTAGTTCAGCAGTTGCCTCGGAACCTCGGGTCCGACGTTTACAATGGGTTGCCAACTCTTTCTTGGTGACATGCTTGGCAATGTCATCCTCAGATGATGGGCGATAGACCCCACCCTCAATGAGCTGCTGTTGTTTGGCTCCAACCAATCGTTCCACATCCACTGGGTCCCACTCGAATATACATCCGGACAGCTGGGCCATGAAGGTACCATACAAGGCATGCGATTCGGAACAACAGGCCATGGCAAACCGACGCATGTAGTGCCAAATATCCAGTTTGGTTGTCAAGTTGGGCCAACCTGAAAATTGTTGTGCTAACCTGATGCCACAACAATCACGGTCAACATATAGAACCTTTGGGGGCTCGACATGAGACCGCTCATATCGTGACACCAAGCCTTGAGCCATGTCATCCAGACAATCGCCTTCGGCATCAGTCAGCACAGACATGACCACCTGTCCATACTCATTCCCAACATTGGTACACCATGATGCTGTGTTGACAGCCTTTCCAGCTAGCTTTTTAACCACCTACAATACATAAAGCAATGAAAAAATAACAAGTCAGAATACAGCATTTATAATGTGCTTTATCCTAACCTGGTCTGTCAAGAAACCTGAAATAGATAAAATGTCTTCAGTTTTTAGTTCATTCCAATTACCTTTTTGGTAGAGTCCATTTTAAGAATTGTGCTCATCCTGGGTAGAATTAAACAAATCAAAGCGTGACAAGTTCTTATATGTACCAAACCCAACAAGAGTCTGGCCTTCCTCGTCCCCAACATTAATGCTAGCACTGCTGGTTGTTGGCTTGCTCTTAGCAGTGTTTTGTTCTTGTCGAAACTTTACAGCCTTGCACATGTCAGGAAAACATTGAGCATATCTTAATAAAAAAAGAATTACAAGTTTCCAATTAATTTGAGAACAATTTATGAGTGCAAAATTATGTATAGAAAGAGCATTGTAAACCTGTGAAGGGCTTCCTTGTTGTCCCACAGGGCATCATTTGATCTTGAACCCCTCTCTCTGGCCTTGTCATGGTCTGCCAGCAGCATTATTGCCCAACCAACATCGTTTTCCAGGAGCCAAATAAAGTTTTTGCCTTGATACTTGCCAAACTGCAGGTTGGTCAGAGCAAGAACCCATTCAACATTGTTTGGGTCACCCTTGGCAGCTATCACTTTCTGTTTTGCCTCAGTTTCAGCCTGTTTTATATTCAAATATAAACAACTAGAACCCATAGTATTTGTATCAGATTGTTTTAATATAGACAAATGCATACAGCCAAAATCATGTAATGTTTTATCATTTTCAAACACATTTCACATTCGATATTTGTCAACGATACATTTGTTTATATATATTTGCAGTCTGAAGTTCGAATCAAGCTGGTTCTTACGAAAATATAACGCTCAAGCTGGGGAAAATGGCTTCCTAAAAATTTTCGCAAATCAAGAAACTATAAACTTACTTTGTCCGCCTGTAACTTTGCCCCGAAATAGCCCATTCTTTTACTGCGTTTAATACCCTCGGCGACTTGCTTTGCTCTGTCGGAACAAGCCCATAGAAGTTCGCCAGTCTCTCTGTCTTTGTATCGAAATTTTGGCTTCGGTGCTTCGGTAATTTTCTACCCAAAAAAAAGCAAGAAAAGTTATCTAACAAATTCTCACAAAGCAATATTACTCTTAAGTTATGAACAATAAATAATCATGAGGTTTTTAACGTAGGATATTCCGTATGTAAATGACCAAATTTGCATTTGAAAAGCTTAAATTTACATACCTTGCCCTGCTTACTAGACGACCCCATCTTGGACGTAAAAATACAAGCTAATCGATCACCCCACGAGAAATCCACGTAATGAAATGTTGGAACAATGCTGGCTTGCGATTGGACAACCGATGTTCCAAAATGTTCCAACATTGGCAATCCCTTAACGCTCATTGGACGAGAGTTGTTCCAACATTGTTCCAAGATAGCACTAAGATCAGCTTTCTTTAAGCGCAAGGATGACACGCAAATTCGTGAAGCGTTCCAAATTTTTCGTTTTTTCTTCTCGAAACGAGGGTCCAGGGAGCACGCGACCGCCATCACGCAAGCAAAACACGAGAAATTTGAAGCAATCTTGGCGTCTATAATTAGCGCGAGGGTTCTAAATTTGAGATCTCCGCGCGAACGCTGACCGGGTCGGCGACACGGTGCGACATTCACTCGAAGGTTAGGTTAGGTATTATTAGAGGCGTTAGATATAGAAGGTATTATTTTTATTTATCAGTAAACATTTGTAAATAAAAATAATAGCCTTATTTCGGCGCCACGGGTTGACATGCGAATTGTTTTTTGTCCGTTTTACTTCTCGAAACGGGAATTCGGAGAGGGAGCGACCGTGATCAGACAAGCGAAACACGACCTCGTCGAAAACGAGTTTCTACAACGCGTGTTGGCTGCCATTCGTGGCGGCACGCGATTGCCGACTGACGCGAAGAGTGCTGAAATTCACTGTTCGTGTTTGTTGATTTAGCATTGCGATGTTTGTTTTAATTTGCAGGCACGCGAGTTTCACAGGTATTCGGCGTACGTGTTTATTTACTCTAGCGGCGGATTGTTTGCTTTTGTCGAGCAGAAGCACGGAACGCAAGGCTTCGCTTCGGCTGATTCATCATTATCCTGGAACACATTCGGCTTCATAAAAAGAGCTTCGACTTCCTGAGATCCGGTCCGACGTGTCTTTTCCTGACAGCAGGCGTCTTAGAAAAGTTAGCAAACCCAGTTCGCCGCCGATAACTGACAGACGGCATCCGCTGAAGTCACAGAGCTCCAAAGAGGTAGTATTGACACGAACGTTTTTCCCATCGCTCAAAGCACGATAATTCCTCGCACGTGATAATAATTTCGCATTTCAAATGATGCTCGACAAAGTGCATTGTGGGATATGTAACGATATTTTCACGAGCGTGCACTGACATAGCCTTCCCCCAAAAAAATATGACCGACATATACGCGTGGCGCTCGTTCGCAGCACGCGAGCATGCGTGGAGCATGCTTTCGTCGCCCACGCACGGGTAACCTCGACAACAGTATGCCGCGTGTTGTAGGTAGGTAAATACCGACAGGATGCATACATAGACGTGCTGCTCCGGCAGCACATATACTAAAATTGGAACGATACAGAGGTTGTATCTTTCATCCACATCCAAGACTTGACGAACCCTTGGATATATCCCAGCACTCGTCAGCTCTTTCTTCTCACAACCAGGATGTGGACAACACAGCTTTACCTTCCACAGCTTCCTAGGCATCCAAAGCAACAGGCGTTGGGCAAAATACTTACTCGGAAGAGGTGGTTGGTTTGCAATAAGGGGAGGTTGGGGTGGATACCACCACAGTTTGTTCACTCTAAAATATATAAAAAATAATATAAAATAATAAATATATTTTCTTGGTGAACTACATAACCTGAGCATGTCTTGTTACCTGCTGAAATCTAGTTCAGCTTTACCAGTTTTTGCACTTTTCTTGAACAGTGCCTGTGACACCCACATGTGGTCTGCTTTTGGGAGAGTTTTCACCCATCCATCAGGCAAAAACACTGAAAAATATTATTTGAAATTATTTCCCATATACACTGAATGATAATAGTATGATAAGTTACATGTTGAAATGAGTAAGTGCCTTAAATACCTCCAGTGCTACTACTTTCTTGCAAATTACTGCTTCTGCTTTGCACCTCTGTTCTCTCTACTAACACATTCACAGAAATATATTTATGCAATGATTAACATACATAGATTATTAAGGAAGATGCACTGTACGTCATTCAGGCTTTTCGAATTACCACACAGAATATATATGAATATCATACTATATATAACACCAACTACCTTGAGTGCAGGTTGATCCACTAGTCTTTGAAGTTGCGATGCTCCCACTATAAGTTTCCTCTAGCAAACACAATATAACCACAACATATTATTAAAAATATTTAACGCAGGAACGAAACAACATAACATTTTAATACAAGTGTCCTTATAAGTTATATAAATTTCACATGAAAGATTTCACATTTTGGTTTGACCCACCAGGATTTGAACCTGGAAATCTCAGTGAGATGCCCGCCTTTGGGCTATAGGATCATTTTCATCACTTGTAAGTGAACTCCATAAAATGCCAACTTACCAATACTTTCGACCATTTTACATAGTTCCTCATCACCAATATCTGGCAGGGCAGGCACAATATCAGGCGTAGAAGTGGTGGTCTCTTACTCGTACTGTTGGCAGGGTAGGTTTAAAAGTAGTGGCACCTTGCTTTGCAACTTTAGCTGCATATCACGCTGGTGTGTCCCGAAAGAACTCTGCTAGCGAGGGTGGAACTTGTTCTGGTTACTTGCACTTTGGTTCTTGGCTTTTCTTTTGCTTCTCCTCCGACTCTTTCTTTTTCAAGGCTACAACCTCTCGACCTCAGGAAAGACCAACATATTTTTTGAAAGCTCCCTTGTTTTGGCTTATGCTGCTGTTGTGGTCGTCTCCCCTCTCATTGAGTAACAAGCCAGCCAACATATCCCAAGCATTTTCTAACATCAACGAAATGTCTGTCCCGAAACACACCGAATTGAACGATGTACTCGCCCAGTACGTCCAATTCATCATCGACTTTCCCATTTCTACTTTTTACGGCCTGAATAGCACGTTTTTTTGACCTAAAAGAATATGCGATTGATATATTTTTAACATACATATACATACTACATGGTATTTATACTATATACATACTACAGCGAAATACCAGCGTTAAATTTCAAAACAAATCTATCGGTTTCAACGAAAAAGTTCAAGGTTAACAAATATTGCCTCGTCAGCAAGCGCAAAATCATTTAAATGCGATAAATTCTTACGATGGATTGTAATACAATATGTAAAGAGCAGCGAGCGCCATGTTAATATTAGCTATAATCACAGCAATAAACCGATGTGATATTCGACGTCGCGATCGATATTTTACCCGTGTTACAGCCATATCAGTTACTTAACAACATAAATATACCCTTACCTCCTCAACGCTTCGCTGGCCCTCAGCCTTCGGTTTTTGCTTTAGTTCTAAAGCCTCCTTCGAGTAGCGAAGCACCAACGCGCCATTGGAAAATCGAGGAAAATTCGGCGATCGAATCATACTAAAAGCTCAAAGACCAGCCAAATACGTTTAGATAAAACTATTTGACAACGACTGACACAAAGAACTCGTTTGTTGTCCGAATAACGATCAGAAATTTCGAAAAAAACTCGCCGATAATATGCTCACTCCTATAGCAATGCCCCCTTGACAACGACAGCGAAGGCAGCCTTAGCAACCAAGCTTGTGGAAACTTGGAACAACGAAGCCACCTGATTGGCCAAATGTTGGAACAACGAAAGGATGTGATTGGCCGAATCAACCTCGAATCTTAGCATGGCCCCTGCGCAAGGATGACACGCAAATTCGTGAAGCGTTCCAAATTTTTCGTTTTTTCTTCTCGAAACGAGGGTCCAGGGAGCACGCGACCGCCATCACGCAAGCAAAACACGAGAAATTTGAAGCAATCTTGGCGTCTATAATTAGCGCGAGGGTTCTAAATTTGAGATCTCCGCGCGAACGCTGACCGGGTCGGCGACACGGTGCGACATTCACTCGAAGGTTAGGTTAGGTATTATTAGAGGCGTTAGATATAGAAGGTATTATTTTTATTTATCAGTAAACATTTGTAAATAAAAATAATAGCCTTATTTCGGCGCCACGGGTTGACATGCGAATTGTTTTTTGTCCGTTTTACTTCTCGAAACGGGAATTCGGAGAGGGAGCGACCGTGATCAGACAAGCGAAACACGACCTCGTCGAAAACGAGTTTCTACAACGCGTGTTGGCTGCCATTCGTGGCGGCACGCGATTGCCGACTGACGCGAAGAGTGCTGAAATTCACTGTTCGTGTTTGTTGATTTAGCATTGCGATGTTTGTTTTAATTTGCAGGCACGCGAGTTTCACAGGTATTCGGCGTACGTGTTTATTTACTCTAGCGGCGGATTGTTGCTTTTGTCGAGCAGAAGCACGGAAGCAAGGCTTCGCTTCGGCTGATTCATCATTATCCTGGAACATTCGGCTTCATAAAAGAGCTTCGACTTCCTGAGATCCGGTCCGACGTGTCTTTCCTGACAGCAGGCGTCTTAGAAAAGTCAGCAAACCTTCGCCGCCGACAACTGACAGACGGCA